GACTAGCGCTTGATTATTTTGTATGAATAATTTATAGTTTAATGCATTTATAAGGTAATTATGTTTCTTATTCATTGCGATTAATGCAATATTTTTCTCTCTGATCGACAAGATTTTTTTTCTATGCCTTACATTTAATACTAATTATATATGGCATAGACAAAACTGCTAATGTAAAGTAATACTGCGGACAATTTATATATATAAGTATGATCAAAAAGTGTGCGCGATTAGAGTGTATTAACATCTATACTTCAAAATGTTCTTGGAAAGCGTTAGAATTGCTCTTAGAATTTATGATAGTATTAGTATTAGTAATGATTCGTCAATCGCGTCAATGTGGATCTTTTTACGTAGCAAAAATTAATAAAGTGTTCGTTATTTATACTATGTACACTGATATCTAATACTGCGGATCAACTTTCTATTGATATAATAATGTGATAATAATAATTCTCATTGATCGAAGCAATCGTCGAAATCATTGCAAATTCTATCCAAATTTGCACTTATTATATTTAACTTTCAAATTTGAATCTTATCAAACCAAATTTCGACTCACCTTGAGAATTGATACATTCTTGCAACAAATTGTGCTCTCGTTTTTCGAAAACGGCTACATCTGGTATTTCCGCTACGCTGGCAATTCTTTAAATAATTCGCGTTTGTCATTACAGGGAACCCAGTATATGGTATATGCATTTTCGTCAAAAAGTAAGATGACGTCAATATAGTAATCATGTCCAAGTTCCCCGAACGACGCGTTCCATCTGTGATTTTAATGGAAAAATTGTCGAAAATTTCTTTTTATCCTTATCCTTGTCCCTTTCTTCGTCTTCTGGTGCAATGGTTCTCAACCTTTTTTTTTTTTATGATAATGAAGCAAATATTTACCATCTCAAGAATTAAATCTTTTGATTAGGCAGACGTTTGAAAAATTATGTAATAAATTTTCTTATAGTTGGACTATTTTGCAAGGCATAATTTTTGAGCTAATAAAAGCATCGAAAACTTTTACTTTTGTTAAAAATAAAATGTTACATCAACCTCATTGTAAATATAATAAGATTGCGCTAGATCGTTACAAAATTAGCATTCCTTGTCGTCTAATACAATGCTAATAATCATACTGGTATGTCTATAATGTCTGAAGACATAACAGATTCTATATAAAATGCGCTTTTGTAAGAACGGATATCCAGAAAAGCATTTATCAATTCAAAGAAGAAGCATTACTGTCGTCATTAATTTCTTTGGCCGAGAACCATCGCTACGTACTGTTTCATTTGACACTTCGACGACACACGCATACTTGACACATGCATTCATACGCAACTTCATCTCGAGATTTACCTCCTAGAAGAAGCCATGCGGATCATCATTCTATCTAGTTAGAACTGCGCGCTGTGTGAAAAGTTTACATATGTATATACATATACGTCTACGTATGTATTATCACTGACATGAGTCGCATCGCTGCTGTCTGTCGCTATCCGTCGTGATCGCTTACTGTCAACTAGGATCAGCTGTCGTCCGGTGTGTCCTGATACTCCTCGCTTTCTCTGTGCACTAGCACGTGCACCACTGTCGCCTCTGATTGCTGCCGAAGTAGCGGTGGTCTCGTAGGTGGTGCCGTGTTTTCCGGGCTCGGTTCTGTCACTAGGATGCTTACCCTATCGCTACCCTCAATCGGCAGCCGTACCGGCTCTGGCAGTGGCGCCCGCCGTCTCAGGCTGCCGCAACGTCGGTTAAACGCCTCCTTGATGTCCCGCTGCAGCGCGTTGAGCGAAAGAGCGGTGCCACTCGGCCTCAAAGTTGAGCCGCGCTTCGAGATCGGTGGGCTGGTTACATCCTCCTCCAGATATTTCTCCACTGCGTCCTGCCGGCCCAGCGTAGGGCCCAACGACCTGCGGACAGAGACGAGTCGTTATTAGTGAATTTTTGCATTTTCGTACTTACACCCCAGATTAACATACTCGATATCTGTAGAATATAAGTTCGAGTTTGATTTATTTACGATCCAAATTTGCCTAGCAAATATTAAAATGTTTGAAGAATATCGGGAGGATATGACACAATGATTATGAGAATACAATTGAACATATCCTAGAGAAAACGTTATATTTTCTTACTCTTTATGTAATTTTTATCTATATAAAGCGATAGATAAAACAGAAGCAACAATATGTGCTTCTTGCAGTAATACAAATAAAATGTCTTGCCACTCTTAATTATACTTTTTCGCCTGATACGCGCTATATAAAATTATTACAGATACATTTAGCACATGCAAAAATTCGAAATCACATATCTTGATTAGAATAAGTGTTTTACTTAAAGCTGGCTAGACCGAAGCATGACATGATGCTGACAGTTACTCTAATGATATACCTAATGTCATACAAAATGCTTATCAATGCCATGTAATAATTGATGTAATAACAATAACACCAACTTTTTCACTTAACTACTTTCATCACAAACCGATAATGAGCCATAATGATTAATGGATTATTATGGAGATTGAATTATGTGCAACGAGCTGTCATCTTCTAATTTGCTAATGTACTTGTTTACTGCTAATCCGCTAAAATAATTATATTTTTGAAATCTGCATTTCGCAGCTTGATATACTTTATAGTGTACTAATTTCATAAACTATAATATGGGGCAAAAATGAATGCTATAATTTTCTGTCGATAAAATGTACAATACTTAAACTGCTAATCAATATCTTAACTTTTATCTCATGTGGCATCATACACAAATCGAACAATAAAATTCAAAAACTTCTACATATACATAATATATATATATATTCAGGTTTACCTGCTCGTTTTCTTGCCTGAGGAGTTTTGGAAAGGAGAGAAAATAGATTAATTCTTTTGTGTGGAGCGTATGTGACATGGCATATAAAAATTAATTGTACCATGACATACATCATATAAAACTCGTTAATGTAATTGTTAATACAAACTCCTCAGGCTAATATTATTATGTGAGTGTATTTTATCCTCTGCAATTGTACAGTTAAAATTAAATTTTAACTAAATATTTTCACAATAGTCAAAATTTGCTTTTGTATTTCATATTTTATAAAAAATGACAAAATATGTACAAATATATAAATTAATTTGCAAAATTAATGTATTCTGTCGATTTATTTTAATTTGAAACAGAAATAATATATTTATAATTGGATCTGGAATAGCTGGAATAAAATATTTAATACAATTGGGCCTTAAACAGAAAAAAATTGATCAACATTAATCAATTCAACTAAAGTAATTTGCGGTAAATGCAATGAACTGAGTGAATTCGTATCAATCAATCAATCAATCGTAAACTCGAAAAATAAGCCAGAATAAAGTGATCTCACATAAAAATTACATATTTATATATTGCTAGACGAATTTCGTCCAATAGACGACCCGTCACATAGTGGATCCTACTTGATCTCCTTGGAATGATTCGAACAATTCCAAAGATAATCTCATATTGTTATTACGAGATGTGTGAATAAAAAGAAATCAACCTGACAGTGATGTGGGAGTCCGAACCGGAGCTGGAAGTGGCGGAAGGTTGTTCGGTGGTAGGTGAGGGACGAGACACGGTCAGTGCCGGAGGTTGCAGGTCCTCGTGGGTCCCGGTGGCGCCGGAGAGCAACAGCAGAGGAAGATTCGGGAACAGCCACGCCGAAGCGGTGCCGAGTTCGCTGAGGTCGCTGGCGTCGCTGGCCCTGGAGGACTTGCGACTACTAGCCCGGCTACCTCGGTGCACGTGTAATAGAGCTGACAATTTACCGCTCCATCCACTTCCGCCCCTACCATCCATTCCACCTGGACTTGAAGTCTGCGTCTGCGAGTCTACCTCTTGGGCGATTCTCTCGCGCTCCCTTTTCAGCCTACGAACATACCGTTTCCTTGTATTATTATATTGTCATTTATGAATATTACTGATTGTAATCGTTGCTTTAAATTCTCCATATATGTGCATTAATATGTTGACATCTGAATATAATAATCATGTCTTTTATTGTCTGAAAAAGTATCTATTTCTATGAGAAATGCCATTTTTTCGAGTGAAAACATCTGTTTATACTTACGCAATGTACTCCCTTATGGAACGTTGAATCAACCTGGCAGCTTTATCTTGTCGCTTCCAGATTCTTGTGGAAGACACTATTTCTAATTCTTTCCTGGTTGGAAACTGTTTTTTGAACTTAATGTCCATCTGTTCTTGCAGCTTCCTGAAGTCATCCGATTCCTCGACGTGCCCGAGAACGTGCTTGACGAGCGCGTGCAGGATGTCCAGACAATGAATCTTGTTACCCTTTGCAATAGGAAGATTAAAGCTGACCAACGCTACGACGTTGGGCTTTGATATCCCCAGCGGTGGGTCTAGGCTCGCTATAAAATCACTCAGCTGCGAGAAGCTGATAAATTGAGTTGCATGTGGATCGTACCTGAAAAAACGAAAGTTTTGATTCAAAATCATGATAGAATTGTTATCTTATTTTCTAAAAAGCCTCTAAAATGAATGTCGCAAACTCATGTGTATATAAATTCTAAGATTGTATTAAAGATTTAAGAGAATAAGAGAAAGTTTTCGTAAGTTGCTCAATTTATTAAATCTTTTAAATTAGCTACTACTAGTATTTTTGAAGATACATGGCAGAGTAATTTTTCAAACACTTTGTATATAAATTTAATATAAAAATATTCTGACAACAAATGGCAAAAAGAAAAATTTCTTACTTCGACCATCGGATGTAAAACATTTCTAAGTCATCCTCGACGATACCAATCTCCTCTTCTTGATGAGCTTGATTGAAGTTCTCTAAGATGATGGCAATGTACATATTAATAACTATCATGTAGCTAATGATAATAAATGATGTAAAGTACGTGATCGCTAGCAAAGGGTATCCGCAATCTCCGTTCATCTGTCGGCTGTTTGGGGTGGGATCGCATTCGGGTGGTTGCACCATCAGCGACTCTAATACATCGTTCCACCCGGCCGAGGTCATCAAGCGGAATAGCAGCTGCATACTTCTACCGAAGGTTTCAAAGTTCACCTAAAAGACAAAACGACTTTAATAGATTGTATCCACACAACAAGACAAATTAAAAAAAAATGTTTTCTATTTTATTTTTACATTTCTCCTCTCTACAAATATATAAATTCAATAAATCTCATTCTTTCACTTAATTAGTACATTAAAATGCACAAGAATGTAATTTTAATTGAACAATAAATTTAGTCTATAAATGAAGAATAATCTACAATACAATTGTTCGCGCATCTGTACTTACCATATCGTCCAATGCGCCCTGTTTTCTAACATGTCCGAAAACAGACATGCCGATAATAGCATAGATAAACGTGATCAGGGCCAGTAGAGCCCCAATGTTGAAGAGCGCTGGAAGACTGACGACAAGGGCGAAGAGTAGCTTGCGGATACCTTTCGCGGCCTTGATGAGCCTCAAGATTCTGCCGATTCTGAACACCCTCACGACTTCGGGGACACAGGAAAGTCTATCATGATGTCTTCCATTAGTATACCCAGGATTGATGCCAATACCAGTACGAAGTCGAATAGATTCCACGGCACCGTGAAATAATGATAACGTAGACCTATTATTTTGACGATCGCCTCCAGGCCGAAGACGGTCGTGAAAAACGCGTTCGATACTTCGAGGACAAAGAAAATGGGATGCGGCTGGTTATAGTGCTCGATTCCCATCGTCAACATGTTGAGAAATATCAAAACGAAGATAGCTATTTCGAATCTGGAAAGAGCGGAAGTTAGGTTTCATCATCACGTCATGTTCTTTTGCAATAAGTTCGCCGAAATCTTCATTCATCAGCGATTAATTATTAATCTCCTTACGATGCTAACACATAATGCATGCACGTCTAACGTTCGTGCGGTAAAAATGGCGTAAATAGTGTCTGCCGTCGGTACACGGGGGCCAATTTTATATTTAATTCTCGTTCGCTTTCTGCTAATATTTAAAACAAAATAAAGTATATTGACGGGAGGAGAAAGATATTATAAGATGATATATATAATCCAAAAATCTTTCTGCAACGGTTTGCAAAAATATGCATATACATACAATATATGAATACTATTTGAAAACATAACTCTATAAGTTTATTAAAAAAAAAAAGAATGGAACTTTCTCATTCATAACTCACGCATCGAGATCACTGTAATAATTCTAGCTTACATTTTCCCATTGTGCGGTTGATTTTACATTTACATGGATTTTATTTTATTTTATTGTAAGAAAATAGAGGAAGAGAGAGTTCGCACATCTAACAACCAGTGAGCAGAGTTATAAAGTCATGATATTTGCGTAAGCTCTCAGACTGCAGCTTATCTCTTCTATTATGTACCGTTATATCTCACTATATATACCGACAATGAATCTACAATTTAGAGGCGGCGAGCATAACTGTCCTTCGGGTATCGATTTTCCATTACTTCGAGTAACAGAATGCAAAGTCGCAACATTTATCTTTTGTGGTCTCTTGCCTCTTGCCGGAAGCGCTGAAAAGAAAATTCACGCATTGTGTCATGGTGATTTGTATACATATTGCAATGTTTAGACGAGAAGAAAAGTGTTATCGCACGAAAAACGAATATACCACGCGTGTACTAAGAAATTTATGTAAACTATCTAACACTGTGAATCTCGCGACGTTAAATCTGGCAATTGAAAATGAAGAGAAGCAACTGCAGCACAACTAGAAAGAAAATCTTTCATTTCTCTAATATATATTATGCACTAATTTTCATTGATCTTAAATTCATTAATATGATATAATTCGATTAAATGTGCAAAATTTTTAATAAATTAACATTCTTCAAGTTTTACGGGTGATAAGAAAGTTGTACAAAATAGAATG